CGAGCCAGATTCCACCTCATATAGTTGACTGCCGGAAGCTGGAAGTTCTTGACCTCGGAAACAACCACTTCTCCGGCGAGGTCCCGTCTGAATTGTCCTCCCTCATTCGCCTTCGAGTCCTTGACATATCTTCCAACAAATTTTCTGGGAATTTGAATTTCTTGAAGTATTTCCCCAACCTGGAAAGTCTCTCCGTGGCGGACAATCTCTTCACGGGGAGAATTCCGGCGTCTATACGTTCATTTCGCAATCTCCAACGGTTCAACTTTTCTGGGAATCACTTCCTTGAAATTCCCGGGCCATTGATGAAGAGATTTGGACACTCAGCATCTGATATCCCCAGAAGATACATCCTTGCTGAGAATTCAGCTCCAACAACAAGTGAGGGAGCTTTTGCTCATGCTCCAAAATCCAGTAGGAACCATTCAAATCATTCAGGGGCTCAAGCTTCTCCAGCTCCAGCTCCAACAGCGCAACATCACGAACACAAGGAAAAAAGGAGGAAACTAGGTGGGTGGATTCTCGGATTCCTAGCAGGAGCATTCGCTGGGAGCATATCTGGGTTAATATTTTCTTTGCTGTTTAAGTTGGCCGTAGCTGTGATCAAAGGAGGAGGGAAGAGCACAGGCCCTGCAATTTATAGTCCATTGATTGCAAAGGCAGAGGACTTGGCTTTCCTGGAGAAAGAAGATGGAGTGAGTTCATTAGAAATCATTGGAAAAGGTGGGTGTGGAGAAGTTTACAAGGCTGAATTGCCAGGAAGCAACAAACTTGTTGCTATAAAGAAGGTCAAGCAACCTCCAAAAGATGCAGCCGAACTGTCTGAAGAAGACAGTAAGATTTTGAACAAAAAAATGCGTCAAATTCGCTCGGAGATCAACACGGTTGGTCAAATTCGACATCGAAACCTTCTACCTCTGCTAGCTCACGTGTCAAGGCCGGATTGCCACTACCTTGTATACGAGTACATGAAGAACGGAAGCTTACAAGATGTGCTGAATCAAGTTCAAGCAGGCGTAAGAGAGTTAGATTGGTTAGCACGTCACAAGATTACAGTTGGCGTAGCAGCTGGCCTCGAGTACCTTCACATGCACCATACTCCTCGTATAATTCACAGAGATCTCAAGCCCGGAAATATTCTTCTTGATGATGATATGGAAGCTCGAATTGCAGATTTTGGGCTTGCAAAAGCAATGCCAGAAGCTTATACCCATGTCTCAACTTCAAATGTGGCAGGAACGATGGGTTACATAGCACCAGAATATCACCAAACAATGAAATTCACTGACAAGTGCGACATATACAGCTTTGGGGTTGTTCTTGGCATCTTGGTGATGGGAAAGATTCCATCTGATGCGTTCTTTCAGGAAACAGAGGAGCTGAGTTTGGTGAAGTGGATGAGGAATGTGATGACTTCAGCCAATCCTACTAGGGCCATTGATGAAAAGCTCTTAGGCAATGGATATGAAGAGCAGATGCTTCTGGTTCTCAAGATTGCTTGCTTTTGTACTCTTGATGATCCCAAGGAGAGGCCTAACAGTAAGGATATCAGATGCATGTTGTCCCAAATCAAACACTGACAGTGCTCCTACGCTCCTGAAGAATGTCGAATAATAGCATGTAATGCTTTTGTGATAAAGTGTCTATGATCACGCTAGTCTACCTTTAGTAGTTTTGTTGGGTCAAACGTAAGACGACACTGTAAAATATACAGTTTCTGATTACATAATGTAAGATATTTCTATGTCTAAATCCTGGTAAAATGATGTTCATGTATTGTCCAGCTTTTCTATAGAATTCATCTGGACGTTGTTATGATTAAGAACAAGAAACAGCCCTTCGCAGTTCGAGTGTTTACTTTTTCGGTGCGTCTGTGAGTGCTAAAACTGACAGAATATTCCTAGAGTGAAGCTAAAGGGATGTTCCTGTGCTAGGTCTTGAGAGTTAGGACAGAAAGAAAGGGGAAGAGAAGAGAAAGAGAAAGATAAGGGGGAAAGAGCCTGGAACCAGAATCTGAAATTCTAGGAGAAGAGGAAGTTTAAGGCAAACTGAATATTGCTTTTCATTCATCTCCCCTTTTGGCAGAATACATGTATGATATTTATAGTATGGTACATAAACTGAAAATAACTTCCTTATCCTATTCATATAGAACTAACAATGATGTAACCAACGTTAGACACTTGTAACAGTTAACATAAGACACATAATAAAACATAAAACACAAAACATAATAATTCACTGAACAATAAACTAGTAAAGGCCCCTGGTTCCCATCATCCTGAGTTCTGAAAAGTATGGTACTGAGAATAATAAAGTGTTCGATCTGACACAAGATGAAAAAGGAAAACTAAAAAAGGAGGAAGATACGGGAGATGGGGAGAGAGATAACTCCCCAGCAATTGACAAATTTGAACCAACTCGTCAGTCTTCCACTTCCTCTTCTCAGTATCTTCCATTAATCAAAACTACTAATTAATAGTATCAGTCTATCTAGTTCTGCCGGCACCGACTTATAAGGATTAGCGTTCTGCTATAAACTTATACTACCATTCACGATAGGGTGAAGCAAATTAAAAGTAACATACTAGCAGATTTGGTTTGTGATTTTCTCTGACTTCAAAATCTGAGGATTTTTAAAGTTATTTGGGGTTACAGATATATCTTGCTCCTAGGCTAGGTCAATGTACTGCGAAATGTGAGAGATACGACATTTATTTCATTAGTGAGATGTTTGATGTAGAGATTTTTCTGTTTTAATTTTAAAGCCAAAAAAAAAATCAAATTGTTCGTCTTGGAAGATCGTTTTAATTTTTCTCGATGTTTTTAATTTACCAAATGCGGTTATATTGTCTGAAGTTTATACCAGTAGCTTCTGCAATGAATTTTAGATTGGCATTGGCTTATATTGTGGGCATCTTTTTATTTTAGGTCCTTATGGTGAATTTTCAAAATGTGTTTTCATTGTCCTCCTGAAGGCAAAAGCTCAGTTAGGTTCATGTTTGTGCTCGCATATATCTCATTATTTTGAATCTTTATTTGTTTCCCACTGTCAAATTTGTTGATAGAGTGGAATCACACCTGAATAATATAAATAACAATCATGGCTCATGAAATGATCTTAATTTGGCACGGCTATTTGTGTTTCAACTTTAACACTACTTACCCTATTGTATGATTGAAGGAGGTTTGCTAATCAAACGATTTTACTGTGGCAGCTAGCAACTTTTGTGTCTGTTTCAATGAGAAATTATTCCTTGCTGCATAATGTCACACTGACAGAACAAAAAATCCAATCTAATATTAGAAATTAACAAGCAAGTCATATGACAGAACTCATCCGCTTCAAAATATTCTAACATGGATGCTCATGAAGCGAAAATCAAGGACTGGGGGCTCAAAAGGCTGGTTGGTAGGTTTCTTTTGTTAATAGCATCATATTGTTGATTGCTCCAGTATCTCTTAAGACAGAAAATTATGAATCTAATGTGTATAAGGCCCATGCAATGGAGAAAAAGGAGGTTAAATTTATTGTGTTCTAGAAAGCATGTCTGCATACGAAAATATGTGTAAGTTCTCAAATGGCTAGGAAATCTACAAGAGTAGCTCTCTGTCTCAGTCTCAGTCTTTGCAATAGCAGAAGGGTGGTGAACAGACTCTTGCAGGTTTGTGTCAAACTTCATTTACCAATGGGTCAACAAATACAAGTGGCAAATTCCCAAATCGCAAGCCACATTTAATGTCGTGAAATAAATATCAGAAGTTGACTGTTCTTTTTTTTCTTTTTTTTTTGGGGCCTAATGCCCAATGTGCAGTTACGTCGAACTTTCTTTCTGAGGGAGTAGACTTCACGGCCATTGACGTCGTCGCATACACGTACCCAGTTTGAAAATGCACATCACAAGGGTCGCTGTGCAGGCCCTACCGCAGAAATTGTATGTTAGAAAATCCAATGAGGGATGAAAACTTTAGTCGGGTCTGTCATCGTTTTCATACTCTTTACAAGTCAAATTAGCTGTATAGAAAATATTTAATCGCCATAACATAACTCTTTCTCTCTGCAAGAGTCTACGAATAAGGGGGAAATCATCCGATTGAATCCGATCTAAGAAATGAATGATCCAGTGCGTAAAACACGCATGTAAAAGAAGAAGGGGGAAAAATTAAAAACAAAAAGAAATCGACTTTTATCAGTAATAATAATAGGAAAGGGCGGAGGCCAGCGAAGTTTGACGGTGAGGAATTTAACAATTTTCAAATGCCATGACAAGCAGCCCCTATAGCTCAGTGGTAGAGCGTCAGTCTTGTAAACTGAAGGTCTGTAGTTCGATCCTGCATGGGGGCAATTTTTTTTTCTTCTTCTGAAGCATCAGTATTCTGTATTCTTGTCCCTTTTTTTCCCGAGCGTATTATTATTCTCATCTGCAACATCATTTTGTTTCATTATGTATATCTCCGTTTCAACTTTCAAAAACAAGATCAGAAAGATGATACTTTGGGGAAAAAAAATAAAATGAGAACTATTCTCTTTAAGAACTCAATGAAAATAAATGAAAGGATTAAATTAAGTTGTAATGTTTGATATTTTTGCTATCAGATATTTCAATTAAAAAAATGACAAATCTATACTTTAATTAGATAATCATGTAACTAGATATAAACTAGAGATTTGTCATCATATGAAAGATCTATATGATTATCGCGTTTAAGTAAAAATTTTGATAATATATACGATATCATTAGATTTTTTTTGGGTCAAATACTATATCATTATTCATTAGATAATTCTCCCTTTCTTTTGTTGAAGATGAATTTTTTTTTTTTGGGTTGAAACAATTGGTGAATGAGTAAAACAGTATGATCCGCCCTTTGATGGGCTGCAATTTTTTTCCAGGCCGGCCCTTGGAGGCGTCCTGCTGCTTGCCTGTAACAAATACGGCGTCGGTTTTGCCCTTAGCTCCTGAATTTTACCTTCATTAAAAGGGGTGATCGACTGATTGCGTCTGCGAATTCTGAGCTAAATCCTTCGACCTTCGTCTTCCCTTCGACCTTTGTCTATAATTATTCAAATTCGCTGCTTAAATGGCTAGCCTGATACACAAGATCTCCAGAAACTCAACGCCATCTTTTAGAGTACTATCAGCTATTAAACCGCCAACAATTCTGAGACGCACTGATTCTCCAATCCCCCTCGAAACCCTTCCGGGCACACGCTTACCGGATCCCACTAGCAGCGCAGCTTCCTTTTTGAGTCTTTCGGACTACAAGCCGAATTCTTCTCAAAGCTTGGGCTTCCAATTTTTTCCCTCTTTCCCGTTTGGGTTTTGCTGCAATCCTGTTGTTTCGGCTGAGTCCGAAAATTTTGGGGGGGCTGATACTCCGCGAATTGAGGATGATGAAGCACGGACGATTTGGGCGGATAGTGTTAAGAGGAAGAGGAAGCGAAAAATGAATAAGCACAAGTACAAGAAGCTTAGGAAGCGCCTCCGCCGTAAGACTTGAAGAATGGTCCGCTGTGCATACTATACTGTGTTCTAACTACTAATTGGAAGGTTGTTTCACTTTTTCTTTTCTTTTTTTTTTTTAATTTTCTGGGGCTGTTTTTTCTGAATATAATTTATTCCCTTTTCCGGCTAAGTTATTGACAATAAATTTGAGATATTTCAGCATTATTTTCTCTATGCTAAAGTGTCGCTTTATTTCTTCAATATAGTAGCAACGAGAATCAATATTCACCATTCGACGTAGAGCACTCGCCTCAGATCTATGCCTGTGTAGTTTGTGATTAAAATTGGATTGTGCATATTCCTCGGCTGGAAAATTCTTTATGCACTCAACCATTTGGGCGGATTTGTGTGTTAGTCTTTTTGCTGCACTGCGGTACCCACGAATTTCCATATATAGACACAGTATGGAAGTAGCTATACTAAGAAGTAGTTTAGGCTGTGGAATGTGCCCAAGTAAAATGTTGATTCCATCCAATTTGAGTTTCAGTATCTGGTGGAAAATGGATGGGTTTTTTTGTTAATAACACGCCTTTAAACTAAGAGGATGTTGAACTAACATTTTCAGTATTTGAGAGTGCATTCTATCACTTATGTAGATGTAGTTTATTGCTTTTTTTCGTGTTTAAAATGTTGTTATGCTCACGGTGCTGGCATAGACTTGGTAAAACGTTTGGAAGTTGATCACCCAGACTGGATGTTGAGAATCTGGTTGGCCTGACTCATAAATTATGGTTCAAAATGCATAATGGCTGAATAAAGAACAAGAACCTAGGCAAGGCTAGAAGAAGCAGCAGCGGCCGCCCAACGATGATAGAAAACCCTTTTTTCAGATGGGTGAACCATGTCTTATGTTTTAAGAATTCCCTGAAAAAACGGAGTATGCATGATTATTTGACTTCCAATATTGTGTTCTGCTGTGCATGCTCAGTGCCAGCTTCGTATGGTGCCTCCTTTATATTGCTGAACTTTGTACTATTTCTAATTAGGTAGGCCATACTCATAAGCTAACAAACCAATGTAAGGGTTAATTTAACCAAGACTTTGTCATATTACATATCAATTCACTTTTATGTTCTGCGCATCCCTTTGGCTGATCGAATTCATTTGCGGTGGGCACTAAGCGGGCAGTTGGTGGATTTTGCCCCGGAAATAATGATTCAATCTCCAAATCTATACAGTGAAACCCATCTCATCGATCTTCATAACAAAAATCAATTCAAGTTTTGGATCGAACCAATCCATTGACACAGATAGTTCATGGTAGAAAATTGAATTATTTGGGCCCTAGAGGATTGACAGGGCGAACAGCCGAACAGGCCCTTCTTCTTGCGCTAGACGCCTATAATTAACCGGAAAAACGAAGAAAAAATTCGAATGGAAGGGGTGGCAGTAGTGTATCAAAATCATATTGCCTTTCCTTTTATATGCCTCGCTCTTCCTATCACGTGGCTGAAACTTGTACGTGCAACACATTCTTTGGTTCGGTATAATGAGAGACTGGGAAAAAAATATATTATATTTGATTTGTATTGGGAGAATCACAAATAAAGACCCTCGAATTAGCAAAATCACTCTATGGTCACCTGAATATGTCAAATTACCATGAGGGACTCGGTCTCAAATTGTAATTATGAAATCATAACCAAATTACCAAAATACCCCTCTTTATTTTATTTTTTTTTAAAAGAAAGCCACTGCCTCACCGGAATCCGGCCACCAGCGCCGGAGCTCCGGCAGCCGCTTCCGGCCACTGTTGACGACCGGCCGCCAGAGCTCCGGCGCCGACGGCCGCTTCCGGCGGCCTTCCTTTGTTTTTTTTTTTTTGCAACTGTTTTTTTTTTAAATAGTGGGGAAGTGAGGTTGGGGGGATTTGATCCCCCAACCTAATGCTTCCCAAAATAAGAATGACCATTGAGCCAACAAATTTTTGTTAACATTATGATGCAAAAAAAATAATAAGTTAACTCATTTACTTTTGTTCCAGGTGATAACAACAATACATTTGGAAATAACAAGTTCTGATTGTAAAATAACAAGTCTGGAATAAAAATTAACAATATGTTTTTTTTATAACATAAATTTTGTTGCAGGCAATAACAACAATACATTTAAAAATAACAAGTTCTGATTATAAAATAACAAATTGGGATTAAAATTTAACAACACGTTTTTTTTTATAACAACACACTTTGTTTCAAGTGATAACAACAATACATTTAAAAATAACAAGTTCTGATTATAAGATAATAAGTTTGGGATTAAAATTTAACAACACATTTTTTTATAACAATTAATTATTTTATACTTTTCAAAAATAAATTATTTATAACTTATAAAAAATATTTTTAATATATTTATTTCTCTAAAAAATACTTTTTAATCTGTATATCTATACAACTCATTATAAATCAAACTACTTCTTATAAATTATAAAGTATTTATAATAAGGCTTTTTTTTTTTGCCAACTATAATAAGGCATTTTTAATCTATTAATCATAGTATAAATTTTATATTATTTCATTCTTTAAATATTAAAAATAGTTTTTATATTTAAAGAATAAAATAGTATTTTTAATTATAAATTAGAGATAAATTTCATTTATAAATTTAAACAGTCAAAAAGTATTTTTAATCCACAATAAATTGTACTATTTATAACTTATAAGAAGTAGTTTGATTTATAAAAAGTTGTATAGATATATAGATTAAAAAAAATTTTAAAAAAATTAAAAAAGTGTGTTGCCATTTTCCCTAAATTTGATTTATAAATTTGAACAATAAAAAAGTATTTTTAATCTATAAAAAATTATACTTCAAGTTCTAATTATAAATTGGAGATAAAAATTATTTTTTTAGCAAATTAAATAGAGTACAAGTACTTTTTATAAGTTATAAATAATTTATTTTCCAAAAGTATAAAATAATTAATTGTTGTAAAAAAAAAGGTGCTGTTGAATTTTAATTCCAAACTTGTTATGTTATAATCAGAACTTGTTATTTCCAAATGTATTGTTGTTATCACTTGAAACAAAGTGTGTTGTTATAAAAAACATGTTGTTAAATTTTAATCCCAGACTTATTATCTTATAATCAGAACTTGTTATTTTTAAATGTATTGTTGTTATCACTTGAAACAAAGTGTGTTGTTATAAAAAAAAACGTGTTGTTAAATTTTAATCCCAAACTTGTTATTTTATAATCAGAACTTGTTATTTTTAAATGTATTGTTGTTATTGCCTGCAACAAAATTTATTGTTATAAAAAAACATATTGTTAAATTTTTATTCCAGACATGTTATTTTACAATCAGAACTCGTTATTTCCAAATATATTGTTGTTATTACCTGGAACAAGAGTAAATGAGTTAACTTATATTTTTTTTTTGCATCATAATGTAAACAAAAATTTATTGGCTCAATGGTCATTCTTTATTTTGGGAAGTATTAGGTTGGAGGATTAAATCCCCCCAACCTCACTTCCCTCACTATTTAAAAAAAAAACAGTTGCAAAAAAAAAACAAAGGAAGGCCGCCGGAAGCGGCCGCCGACGGCCGGACCCCAGCGTCCGGCCGCCGACAATGGCCGGAAGCGGCCGCCGAAGCTCCGGCGCCGGTGGCCGGATTCCGGTGAGGCAGTGGCTTTCTTTTAAAAAAAAAATTAAAGAGAGGTATTTTGGTAATTTGGCTATGATTTCATAATTACAATTTGTGACTGGGTCCCTCATGGTAATTTGGCATATTCAGGTGACCATAGAGTGATTTTGCTAATTCGAGAGTCTTTATTTGTGATTTCCCCATTTGTATTCTCATGAAAGTAAGGAACAACGATGCTTACTCTGTTCCATGTTTTTATATTCTGCAAATAGTTTTGAGAAACTACCTTAAATACTTAGAATAAAAACTAGTTAACTAATTTAAGTAAATTAAAAAAATTTAATTAAATTAGTTATTTGTAATAAATGGGTATTGTTTTTTTTAGAATATCTTTATTAATCATGTGTAATTAGTTAGAACTGTCATTTTATAGAATATTTAACATGTGTAACTATAACAAAAGTTATTTTGAAAAAAATAGATAAATATAATAGATAAAGTGGATTGATGTCTTATATTTAGAATTAAATTTAAAGTCAAACTAACTTTTATACTACCTTTAGTCCTTAATATAAAAGTTAGTATATTAATTTGAGTAGATTAAAAAAAAATTAGTTAAATTAGTTATTAGTAATAAATAGGTATTATCTTTTTTAAAATATCCTTGATAATGAAATTTAGTGGTTAGAACTATCATTATTACAAGAACTGTCTTAGAAAAAAATAGATAAATATGAGAGACAAAGTAGATTGTAGTTTTATATTTAGAATTAAAATAAAAGTCAAATAAAATTTTATATTAATAACCGGAGGTAGTATTAAGGATAGGATGTAGTATTCTTTATGACTTTTTAATCATTTGCCTAAGAATTTCACAGATAAACAAAAGAAAATCACACAAATTTTATTCTTTTTTTACGGAGGTCGGTCATTCTGGGCGGTGGTCGGGTGGCGTCGTGATATAGTTGGCGGTAAATGAGAATAAAAACAGCTTTAAACTACTTTTATTTATTTAACTATTCTAAAGACGCTAAAAGCACATGAATACTAAGTATAAAGAATGGGCAAACATAAGGACAAAAAAAAAGAATGGGCAAACAAAAGGCGCATATCCAAACAAGGCTTTATTTTTATTTTCATAAAAACAGGATAACAGGTTTTTTTTTAAGTTTAAATTAAACAAGCATGGATGTTATTTTGATTCCTTTTAGCATCTGTTTGGTACGGGGAAAATGGAAGGAAATAAGTAGAAGAAAAAATTTAATGAATTCAATTTTAAAAAATTAATAATATGAGATTGAAAGGTTTTAATTAATTTTTTACTCTTTTATCTTACATATTTTTCTATTAAAATTTTATAACGCCACTTTTCTAATTGTTGAAGGAATTAATCTCATTAAATTTTTTCCTCCCCATTCCCTCCATTTCTCCCGTAACAAACAAATAGTTAGGCACATTTCCCTCCCTGAAGTCGTAAAAGGTAAAGAAAGGGAGAGGCATGGAGGGGCCATTTGATTTAAAATTTCTTGCTTGTTTGATTTCCCAATGTTAATGCTGTCATTCCCTCTCCTTTACAAGAGCACCTTTGAATAATTAGAGTAATTGGATCCAGTTATTAATTCATTCAGTCGGTGT